GAATCCAAAAAGCTCAATGAGCATCAAGTAAGATGAACTCGAAGAGACCCACACCAACACACACTATAATCAAACTTCTGAAAGATAAAAGAGAGAATCTTGAAAGCATCAAGAAGAATGACTCTTCACATCAGCAAGTTTCTCATCAGAAATTTTGGAGGCTAGAAAGCAGTGAGCCAACATACTCGAAATACTAAAAGAAAAATAATGTCAACCAAGAATCTTATATTAAGCAAAACATTATTTCAAAAGTGAGAGAAAAATTAAGACATCCCATGTAAACAGAAGCTAAATGAGTTCATTACCAGTAGATGTGCCCTGTAAGAAATGGTCAAGGGAGTCCTGTAAGGTGAAATGAAAAGACACTAAACAATAGCACAAAGCCATCCATACAAAGAAATAAACAAAGAAGGTAAATACTTGAGCAATTATACAAGTTAATATTACTGTAACAATGGTAACTCCTTTTTGTTTTCTACATGATTTTAAAAACTAATATCAAAAAATAATTATTAGTCTAAAAGCTAATATGATTTTAACTTTGGTTTGATAGAATGGATTAAAAAAATTGATACAGCTATATGCTGTCTACAAGAGACTCACTTTAGATCCAAAGACACAAACAGATTAAAAGTGAAAGGTTGAAAAAATGATTCCATGCAAATAGTAGCCAAAAGAAATCAAGGGTGGCTATACTAATAGACAAAACAGACTTTAAATCAACAAAAGTTACAAGAGATAAAGAAGGACATCATATATATTAATAAAAGTTCAATATGCCACCAAGAAGATACAACAATTATAGACATTTACAACCTATTAAAAGACCACCCGGCCGGGCGCGGTGGCTCACGCCTGTAATCCCAGCACTGTGGGAGGCCGAGGCAGGTGGATCACGAGGTCAAGAGATCGAGACCATCCTGGTCAACATGGTGAAACCCCGTCTCTACTAAAAATACAAAAAATTAGCTGGGCATGGTGGCGTGTGCCTGTAATCCCAGCTACTCAGGAGGCTTGGGCAGGAGAATTGCCTGAACCCAGGAGGCGGAGGTTGCGGTGAGCCGAGATCGCGCCATTGCACTCCAGCCTGGGTAACAAGAGTGAAACTCCGTCTCAAAAAAAAAAAAGAAATTGGTCCCAATTTTTGTTTGGTGTAATAATTGTATTGAGGTTATCTTGTTATTTAATACATCTATTGTTCTTGTCAGAGATGGCATCTTGTTTTGCCACGCACAGTGGAGTGCAGTGGCACTACCACAGCTCACTGCAGCCTCAAACTCCCAGGCTCAACTGACACTGATGTCTTAACCCTCCCAAGTACATGCCTCCCACGCCTGGCTAGTTTTATTCCTGTACAGACAGGGTCCTGCTATGTTGCCCGGGCTGCTCTTGAACACCTCAGCTTCCCAAAGTGCTGGGATTACAGGCATGAGCCATAGCACCTGGCTAGGTTATATTTTAAGAGTCCTTGTCCTTTAAAAATACATTCTAAAACAATTTTGAATAAAATGTTTAAGACTGGCTACAGAATTATCAGGAGGTAGAGACAAAACAAGATTGGCTATAAGTTGATAACTCCTGAAATGGATAATGGATCTGTGGGGATTCATTAAATTATTTCTATTTCTTTATGATGATTCTGCTAAGACATTTTTTTCCCCCCAAGACGGAGTCTTGCTCTGTCGCCCTGGCTGGAGTGCAGTGGCATGATCTCAGCTTACTGCAATTTCCACCTCCAGGGTTCAAACAATTCTCCTGCCTCAGCCTCCTGAGTAGCTGGGATTACAGGTGTGTGCCACCACGCCCAGCTAATTTTTGTATTTTTAGTAGAGATGGGGTTTCATCATGTTGGCCAAGCTGGTCTCAAACTCCTGGCCTCATGATCTGCCCGCCTTGGCCTCCCAAAGTGCTAAGATTATAGGTGTGAGCCCCCATGCCTGGCCAACAAATTTTTTTTAAAAAGCAATTAAATAGGCTCAGGAGGGTGAGACAGGAGAATCGCCTGAACCCAGGAGGTGGAGGTTGCAGTGACCCGAGATTGCGTCACTGCACTCCAGCATGGGCAACAAGAGCGAAACTGTGTCTCAAAAAAAAAAAAAAAAAAGCAAATAAAAAAATCTATCAAAACAAGATTTAAAACGCAGATTGCTTAAAAAAAGTAAACATAAAATAGAACTGTAAAGCTATTTTCTTTTTTTTCTAGCTTTAATCTGCTTAATTTTCATTTGTTGGGAGAAGTATTATAATTTGAGAATGTTGTTTTAATTTGTAAGCAGTGATATTAAAATGGCCAAACATATAGCAGCTTTAAAAAAAAAATTGGTAGAACATCATAATCAATTGGTAAAAAAAAGATGAGCCAAATAATTTCAGTGAAGGAAAGCTAACGAGTAGCAATCAGAAGGAGCACTGATAATTGAAATCAAAAGATTATATTTTTAAAAAATCTCTTGGGGAGAGTATAAAGAAAATAACAAAAGGCTGAAACTAAAAGGCTTACATTATTGAGTAAGCACAGTTAAGGCACATTATGAATAAGAGGAGATAGCAAAAAGAGAGTATATAGCATGGAAAAAAAAGTATACTAAAGACATAGGAGGTCATATAGGTAGACAATCATGACTGGCTAATGTCAACATTATATAAAGAGACCTGTCTCCCTTCTTAATCATTCTTTTCCCCTCATCCTCCATGGAAGTAGAGTGAGCCAGTTTATATGGAATTCTATAAGAACTAACATTCTAGTTCAGGGTCCTTTATATTTCAACATGAGAAAGGATAGCGGTCAAGAGAAAAAAATGCCTGAACACACACACACACACAAATGTGAATGCACAACTCTGTGTGGGTATGTTATGTTGTGAAAATGGGTAGGGGCAGGAGAATGATGTGGGCCATTACTAACCCTTGGCATAATGTTCTGAGTTATATCCTTTCAATCTCTAATAGTAGCAAATAATGCAGTAGCAAAGACAGCTGGGTGATAAGGATAAAGAAAGACAGGAAACAACAGCTAAGAACAAAGGGAGAAAAGAATCAAATACGGAATCAATGGACAGAAACTACACAGAAACCCACCTAGCTATGTCTGAAAAATATCTTGGAACTTGAAATTCAAACCTACTAAGATATTTCAAAAGTTAAAAAACCTTCTTTGCTTAGTTAGGGTGAAATAAAGGTACTCAGCATTACTGGGGAGAGTTCTAGAGTTTTACTTGGAACTTTTGCAAATTAGTAAAGAAATCTGGCACAATGATAAATATTACAAGATTCAATAACAGAAAAAAACAAATATGGCCATCATGACATCCTGTGCAGGTTTAAAAAAATTTCTTGGTTAGACTTAATTCTTTGAACACACACAAACACACACACACACAGAGAGAGAGAGAGAGAGAGAGAGAGAAAAAACATGCCATCTACAAAGTGACCACAATAGGCACAAGATACTGTTTTAAGATGGCCGCAGCAGTTTTCCTTAGACATCTGGGGGATCTATGATTTGTATGGAAATGACTCAGAATTAACTTCAAAACAATAGATAGTCTTTCCACATTATCACCTGTTCCCTCTCCTTTCTCATCCGTTCTTCCTGCTTCTCTGTTCAAATATCTTCCCATAGTCTACATGAAACTACAGTCATATGTAATCCTGTTTCCTTTAAATAAAAAAGATCAACGGCAACTAGGAATGTGCTTTGTAAGAAGATAAACATGCATGGAAAGTAAAATGATATATAAAATGTCTTTATATACTTTTTTTTTTTTTTTTTTTGAGACAGAGTCTCCCTCTATCACCAGGCTGGAGTGCAGTGGCATGATCTCGGCTCACTGCAACCTCCGTTTTCCGGTTTAAAGCAATTCTCCTGCCTCAGCCTCCCAAGTAGCTGGGACTACAGGCACGTACCACCATGCCCAGCTAATTTTCTGTACTTTTAGTAGAGACGGGGTTTCGCCATGTTGGCCAGGATGGTATACATTTTTAAAACAGCTTATAAACAGGTAATTTTAGATTCTCCAATCTAAGTAAGATTCGACTTCATCTTTTACTGAAAAATCTGATTGACTATTATAAGCATAGCTGTTGCAATAACCTTTTTTTTTTTTTTTTTTTAAACTGTGGGTCAGAAGGAGCAATGATCTTTCAATTAGCTCAATGCAAGTCATTTTGATAGTAACCTGTGAAGAAAATCAGCTAAGGTTCCTTCCAATTCTACAATTCTAAAAATTCAGATAAAAACATGAAACAAGTCAGTTTTTTCATTCTAACAGAAAGTGAACAATCACACCCTTTTAGACTCTAAACATACATTCACAGCCTCTTCAAAGTTGAGGCCTAATATAATAAATACAATCATACCTTAAATTCTTGTTTATCCAGTATTTTTCTTGGGACAGAGTCTGGCTCTGTGACCCAGGCTGGAATGCAGTGGGCGCGATCTCAGCTCACTGCAACCTCTGCCTCCCGGGTTCAAGCAATTCTCCTGCCTTAGCCTCCCTAGCAGCTGGGATTATAGGGACCTGCCACCATGCCCAGGTAATTTATTTTTTTTTTGAGGGTCTCAATGTTGGTCAGGCTGGTCTTGAACTCCTGACCTCAGGTGATCCACCCACCTTGGCCTCCCAGTGCGGAATTATAGGCATGAGCCGCTGTGCCCCGCTTACCCAGTATTTTTCAATTACCTCCCTTAAAGTTTCTGTGCTAATTGACAAAGATCATAGAATCTTTAGTTAGTGATACAAGGCTATTTTCTAAAGGTTTCTTTTGACTTTGGTTTAATTTGCCTAAAAAGGGGAAAAAAGCTTAAAGCAATATCCTAAAAAGTCACACCACACAAAATTAGACATAATTCAGATCTGTGTTCAGAAGTGTACAATGAAAGAGGTAATTTTATTATTGTTTGCCTTGAGAAAAGACACCACGACCATCTACACAACAAATCTAGTTCCTTTCTTTGGGATTGGGATGATGTATTCTCAAATATATTTTTTAAAGGATACGTGTTCCATTAACTCCTGATATTTTAAAGTCATCTAGTAGTTGAACAACCATTTCTCTATTTGGATCATGAGGGTCTGAATTGCGAACCTGCAGTGGGGAAGAGATGGTATTTAGCAAAAGGTAAAGCATGGAAATCAGCCAAATAGTAGCGGAAGAATACTTACAGCAAATTAACTCCAAGAAAGAGCTCACATAAATCTGTTTTTAAAACGTACTAAAATTTCAATAGCTTTAATGGAGAAAAACTTAAAACAGTCAATTCATAAGAAAAAATACAACCAACAGGAACTGTTTTTCTAATTCAACTATTTTGCTTCCTGATATCAATCAAAGTGTGGTCTCCAAATTAACTGCTGATTACCAGGTTATGAGGAACTAAGCAGCTTTTACAGGATGCAAATCAACTACAGCACTAACCACAGTTTTTTCCAGCTGACTTTTTTTTTTTCAAAGAAAAACTTTCTCAATGAAGAAAACAGTTTGTTGATTTACTTTTGGGTAGGTACAAGGCTCCTTAACTTGTCACAAAGGGACATTATGAAAAGTATTATCTTAAGCCGGGTGCAGTGGCTTGTGCCTGTAACCCCAGCTACTCTGGAGGGTAAGGCAAAGATCACTTGAGGCCAGGAGTTGAAAAAAAAAAAAAAAAGCACTGCCATAGAAATCTCCTGGTGCAACATTCTCACTTTATGAACAAAAAAATCAGAAAGAAAAAAATAGTAACATGGAGGACATACCAGAGTAAAGGCAAACTAAACCCAGGTTTTCTAATCTGAGTTTAAGTTCCTTCTACTGCATTGGCACATTCCTAATTTAAAACAAAACTAAAAATACATTTTTGATAAAATTTATCTCAGTTTCCAGGTATAAAGAAAATCAGCAAAATACAATAATTTTTATATTATGTATTCCATAACATATTTGAAAACAAAACAAAAAAGATGCTATACATTTATTTACATAACTTTCCTTTTAACCACAGCAGGAAAGAAGAACATTATGACAGTGCTACGTGGCCTATAAAACACACTCTGAATATTTTTATTAATTTGAAAGGTTTTTTTTTGGTTCACGTGTATAAGAAGAATTCTAATCATACCATTTCCCACCAGTTCCCTACTACATGCATGGAATGTGTAAATATTGTTGTCTTCCTCTACCTCTTTAAGGATACTAGACCTTTATAGAAAAAATTATCCATGCTAAGGAGTCTCCACTTGGTGTGTTTTAATTCAATGAAACTTTATTTATAATTCTTTGCATTCATACATATAATCTAATACTCACTGACTTCAGCAACCGGATTTCATCTAGTGCTGTTTCAGTGTAATGTTCAGCACTTTTAACTACTTTCATTGCCACAAATTTCTTCCCCCTAAAAAACAAGCACAGGCAATTAAGACTACATAGCCTTCCCTTACTTTAGGAAGCTATGATTTAGCTATAAGTAAGATGGCTAAAAAGGACAAATATTCTGGAAACTATCATTCTCAGCAAACTGACACAAGAACAGAAAAACAAACACCGCATGTTCTCTCTCATAGGCGGGTATTGATGAACAATGAGAACACATGGACACAGGGAGGGGAGCATCACACACTGGGGTCTGTTGTGGGGGAATAGGGGAGGGACAGCAGTGGGTAGGGAGGTTGGGGAGGTATAATGGGGAGAAATGCCAGATAAAGGTAAAGGGGGGATGGAGGCAGCAAACCACATTGCCAGGTAGGTATGCAACAATCTTGCATGTTTTGCACATGTACCTCAGTACCTAAAGTGCAATTTAAAAAAAAAAAAAAAAAATATATATATATATATACATATATATATATGGACAAATATTGATTTCATGTTTCCCTGTAGCCCATACAAGCTACTTCTATGGAAACATTTGTACTTGTTAATGGCACTAACTAGCCAGATTTCATTTATAGGAAGAAAAAATATCTGTTCTCAGATAATTTCAGTTGTTGAACATTTCCTCTGAGTCAAAATCCTTTTTTTTGAGTATCTCCCTGAATTCCAAGCAAAATGAGGATAAATAAGGGGGAAGATGCCACCAAATTCCAAGTGTCCTGTGTATCTGTATACAGGCAAAAACTAAAAGCTTAAAAACTGTAATATTTTCCCATAGGCAGCCAGAATAAATATTTGGGTGAAAACAAAATGATAAAAATCACAAAAAAGCAAATGACCAAAGCCTTACTGGCATTAATTTAATTACTCTTGTCTCTAAAGTAGAGTGGGAGATATATAATATTGATTCTTCATGAAAGAAAAGTGATTTGTTAAAGAATATAGAGACTACTGCCAACAACAAAATTCTGATAAATGAATTAAGCTAGAGATAGACTGAAGCCTGAATCAGCAATGGAAAATCAGACAAAAACATTTGAGCATCATCTAACAAAGTCTTTTGCAGAACCACTAGAACTTACTGAATATCCCATGATAACCACACTGTTGAAAAGTGTCCCCAGCCTAACTTTCGGATCACATGATATCTCCCGTTGAATAGATCTCCAATTTTTACAAGATGATAACCCCCTGGAAGAAACAGGGGAAATATAATCAGAAAAACCAGGATGAGAAACAATGGTAAGAAAAGGTATTTTTACATCATGTTTTTAAATATCTATATACCTTTTATCAAATAAAAAGTTTCTTTTATACAATCAACTCAACAGAAGAAAACCTTAGTAGTCAAATCAGTTGTACAGTATTACTGAATTCATGTTATAAAAAATTCTTAGTGAATAAGATTAATGATTTAGATTGAGCCTACGACAGCCTCATCCACAAATAATAAACAGATTGCATATCACAGTATTCTTGTCTCTCAATAATCCAATAAGTTTATCTAAACATATATATCTATTACAGTCTCAGGTGTTTTTTAGGAGACAGAATAATAAATTGTTTATTTAGCAAAAAAAAAAAAAAAGAAAGCAAGTAAACAGGATTTCTTTAAATAAAAACAAAACAAACAGGCCAGGCGTGGTGACTCATGCCTGTAATCTCAGCACTTTGGGAGGCAGAGGAGGGCAGATTATTTGAGGTCAGGAGTTTGAGACCAGCTTGGTAAACATGGTGAAATTCTGCCTCTATTAAAAATATGAAAATTAGCCAGGCATGGTGGTAGGCGCCTGAGGCATGATAATCGCTTGAACCCAAGAGCCAGAGGCTGCAGTGAGCTGAGATTGTGCCACGGCACTCCAGCCTGGGTAACAGAGCAAGACTGTCTCAATAAACAAAACAAAACAAAAAAACCCCATAAAAAACAGAAAACAGAGGAAGGCCTGAAAAAGCTGCCAACAGTGGCAGGAATCAAAGTATTTTCATATATATCTTTGCCAGCTGAGAATAAGAAGGACCACGTTCTTCTCTTAGACAGTATGATACATTCATTTTATCTTCCTATCCAAAGACTCTGGAAAGTCTTATTAAGAAACAGAAAAGACACAGGCAACCTGATGACACCGCTTAAGTGTTTGTAATTCCAGTTTAACTTATCAGCTGTCACTATGAGCAAAAAGTAGTAAGAAGGTATTTTATAAAAATCTATACGCCAAAATGTTACCACTGGTTATATGTGGCTGACAGCATTGCTGATGGCTTTTACTTTCTTTTCTGTTTAATATGGCTCTGAAATTTTCTAAGGTAAGCATGTACTATAATTTTTAAAGAGGAAAAAGGTAAAAACATCTAATATAAAATTAGGCTTTGATAAGTCAGACTAAGAACAAATACAATTTCACGTTTTAGAGAAAAGGATACAAGTAAACAGCAATAAACTGTGTTTATGCTGATACAGCAAACATCCAAATGAGAAATTGCAAATAAATGGAACATGTCTTCCTTCATATCTCCTTATGAACTTACCTTTACAATAATCATTAGGGTCTTCTTGCTCATCATCATCAGATCCCAGAATCTCCTCTTCCTGCTCTGGTAGATCACTCTCAGAGTGGGGAGCAGAGCCTCGGTGCTGAGTTTCAGATCTAAGAAATGTTACAAAAATGCACATTCCATTTGAGCAGAAGAAAATAGGACATTATCAAATCCCACCATCACCATAAAAAACTAAACCTTCAGATAATATGAACAGAGTATTACCAAGTGGCAGCCTAGGAAAACATTAGCTATAGTTTTACCTCATGTTAGAAAAATATTACTTTTTTAAAACATCATACATAATAAAATCAGAAAAATATTAAAAAGTACAAAGGAGAAAAATTACTTGACTCTCAATATCCAAACATAATCACTGATAAACTACTGAATTTTTTTCTAATATGTTGCTATATCTTCATAAAAATATTTATCTGTAATCACATACTATATAAACAAATTTGCATCTGGCTTTGTCTATTATAAAATTTTTTCATTTTTATGCATCTCTTAAATCTTAACATGCTTCTCTTAGAAGTATCATTGCTTACTTTGGCACATTCTGCTCAGTTGGACATTTAACTTGTTTCTAATTTTTCATTACTAAAAATACAGTTGTTGAATACTTTTGGATAATCTTTATTCTGTAATTAGAATTATTTCCCTAAAACTAAACTACTAGGTAGAGGTTGAAACATTCCTATTTATAAAAATAACATGTTAATTGTGAAAAATTTGGAAAACACTTGTTTTAAGACATACCTAATCAGAACAACTATTAACATTTCGGAATATTTCTTTCCAGTCAGTGGTCATGAATGCTTCTAATGATTTTTATGTAGTATGACTGCTTCCCAAAAAAGTTGTACTAAGTTACATCCCCACTAGCCACACATGGGCTTTTTGTATTTAAGTACTATCAAGTTCTGAAAACTTTCAGAACTTATCAAGTTCTGAAAGCTTATTTGATAGGTAAAAATGATATTTCATTTTATAATGCATTAAAAATATTTAAAAATATTTATTGATTTCCTTCTCTATATGTCATCAATTGGTTATATAACAATTTTTGTGCACTGAGAAGTTCAAGCAACAGAAAAACCTAAATTTGCATTCAGGCTCTGACATTTATTAGTTGCCTGTCGCTTTAAGCATAAAAAACCAGGGTACATCTGGGTCTCATGCCTGTAATCCCAGCACTTTGGGAGGCTGAGCAAGTAGATCATTTGAGGCCAGGAGTTTGCGACCAGCCTGGCCAACATAGAGAAAGAAACCCTGTCTACTAAAAATGCATTCCAAGCTGGGCAACAGAGTAAAAATCTGTCAAAAAAAAAAAAAAAAAAAAAAAAAAAAAAAAAAAGGACAAGCGAGGTGGCTCACGCCTGTAATCCCAGCACTTAGGGAGGCCAAGGCAGGTGGATCACAAGGTCAGGAGATCGAGACCATCCTGGCCATGGTGAAACCCTGTCTCTACTAAAAATACAAAAATTAGCTGGGCATGGTGGCACACGCCTGTAGTCCCAGCTACTTGTGAGGTTAAGGCAGGAGAATCACTTGAACCCAGGAGGCGGAGGTTGTAGTGAGCCAAGATCGTGCCACTGCACTCCAGCCTGGCAACAGAGCAAGACTCCATCCAAAAAAAAAAAAAGGAAGGGTACACAGCATTCCTTTCAATGGCTAAAGGAAAATACATCTTAATTTTTTAGTATTTATTTACCTTTTCATCAACCTGTTTTATCAGATTATTTTTTCAAAAGATCCAATTTAACAGAAAAACATTTTAATAGCAAAACCAGTTACATGGTATTGCTGAGCTATTGAGACATAAGAAATATCTTCATATGACTAATGATTTAGGTTTAGATTTTTAGTGGCCATTCCACCCTTCCTCAATTCTTGATTTTTTTTTAAATCCCCCAGGGTTCACAAAATTAGTTATAAAACTTTCTGATTCAATATGCATTGTAACTGAAGACCTGTGTTTGGGAAATCTATTTAGCAATAAACTGCCCCACTTTCCTAGGTAGAAATAAGGAGTCTGATACCTGAATTGAACCTTAGAAAGACTGGAAAAAAAAAAAAAAAAAAAAAAAAAAAAAAAAAAAAAAAAAAAAAAAAAAAAAAAAAAAAAAAAAAAAAAAGGAGTCCAAAGGAACAACATTCTTCAATTTGAAGAATTTCAATTAATTAAGATAGAATTCTGAAACAGATTCTTTGATTCAAACTTAATGAAAGTAAATTTGGGACCAGGAGCAGTGGCTCACACTTGTAATCCCAGTATTTTCTGAGGCCAAGGCGGGCATATCCTTTGAGCCCAGAAGTTCAAGACCACCCTGGGAAACATGGTGAAACCCCATCACTAAAAAAAATACAAAAATTAACCGGGTGTGGTGGTGCACGCCTGTAGTCCTAGCTACTCAGGGAACTGAGCTGGGAGGATTGCTTGAGGCTGGGAGGTCGAGGCTGCAGTAAGTCACAATTATGCCACTGCACTCCAGCCTGAGTGACACAGTGAGACCTTGTCTCTGAAAAAAGGGATGGGGTGGAGGTTAGCTGAAGGTTTATATAATGGAGTTGACACCATACACTGCACAGCAGACAAGCTAGTATTTATGTTGCAGGGGAAAAAAAAGAGGTCTATTCTCTAAAGAAAATGAAATAAACTGGAAAGAACAAATGCTGTTAGTGGGGATGATGGTACCCCAGAGTAAAGTTTTCCAGATTCTGGCATTCAGTAGGACCAAACATAACACAAGTAGCTTCACACGTATTTACTCTAAAGAAAAAGCTGGCTCATGCCTGTAATCCCAGCACTTTGGGAGGCCGAGGCCAGTGGAACCCTTGAGGCCAGGAGCTTGAGACCAGCCTGGCCAACAAGATGGAACCCCGTAACTACTAAAAATACAAAAAGTTGGCCGGGCATGGTGGTACACGCCTGTAATCCCAGCTACTCAGGAGGCTGAGGTGTGAGAATCACTTGAACCTGGGAGGCAAAGGTTGCAGTGAGCTGAGATCATGCCACTGTGCTCCAGCCTGGGCGACAGAGTGAGACTGTCTCAATAAGAAAAACAAACAAACAAACAAAAAAAAAACCCTTGCCAGGGACGTAGGGCTATCAATCAGGTCTCTAATGCTTTGTCCATAAAAATTAAAAGTGACTAAGGATCATTGAACATCTGAAGAGAGCCCAGGGCTCCAAAAACAGAGGCCAAGATAAGCAATTAAAAAATTGACCCTAGAGAAGAGATATGCATTCAGGAAAATGACAAAACTTAAAAACTAGTTAATATGAATAGAGAAATGTAAAATGATGCTGATTTCCGTATAGACTATGATGCTCCAGTCTAAAAGATGAGTAGTTAGAAGTTTCAGAAAATAAAGTTGACCATTCCCTAAATGTAGAAGGGGAAAAAAATGGCCCACTTATCTCATAATCGACCATTATCCCGTCAATATCTCTATTCAAGATAATAATGCTCAAAATGAGATGAGACAATCAATCCAGAAGTTCCCACATCTGAATAATCAGAGTTGCAAAAGGAGAAACTTATGAAAATAGAAGAGATAAAATTATTAAAGAAATTCAAGAAACTTCTGGAGACTGAATGGAAGCTCCACTTAAACCATTATTGGGGAAATTTTTAAAAAGAAGACTCTAAAGGCTTCTAGGGGAAAAAAAAGCTAGAAGGCCACTAATTAGACTGTCAACATCTATCTCATCAGAAAGCTAGTACACTAAAAGACAATGAGGCAATGGGTTCTAAATTCTAAGGATTTTTCAAAAACCTAGTATAAGTCTCAAACAGCATTTGAGAGCAAAGTTTTTCAAATATAGATGGACACTGAAACTTATCTCCCATTCATTTTGTCTGAAGAAGTTACTTGAGGTCAAGAAAAAAAGCAGTAAAACTGAGAAAGGTCAGGCGTGGTGGCTCACGCCTGTAATCCCAGCATTTTGGGAGGCCAAGGCGGGTGGATCACAAGGTCCGGAGTTCGAAACCAGCCTGACCAACATGGTGAAATCCTCGCCTCTACTAAAAATACAAAAAAATTAGCCAGGCGTGGTGGAGCATGCCTGTAACCCCAGCTACTCGGGAGCCTGAGGCAGGAGAATTGCTTGAACCCGAGAGGCAGAGGTTGCGCCATTGTACTCCAGCCTGGGCAACAAGAGTGAATCTCTGTCTCAAAGAAAAAAGAAAAAAAAACTGAGAGAGAAGACATAGAATCCACAGGAGTCTGTTTTACAGATCAAAAACAGAAGAGCCCAACAGCTCAAATTCCAAGAGCGCAACTATAGAGAAGGCCTGAAATGCATTTAATCTGACCTAGAGCCAGAGACCACAGGGCTCTGAGAGATCCCAGGGAAAAAAAAACCAAAGACTTTCTAAGAAAGTATGCTTGAGACATACCTTCTGGAAGAATCTAACAGTATGATTAAAANAAAAAAAAAAAAAAAAAAAAAAGTAACACAAGGGAGAAAAATGTAATATAAATTCCAACAAACAAAACCTAAACAAAAAAAGTTACATACTTATAGGCACAAGACACAGTCAAAAAAACATAAATGCAGTTTATTGATTTTCTACTTCAAAATCCACCTCAGGAAAAAGCATAAAATAATTATGGCTACAAAGTAGAACATAAGGGTTCTTTGTAAAGATTGTAAAGACAGAATTTAGGGGCAGTTGGGAAAGAAAGTCAGTCCACCAATATTCTCATGTTACAAAGTCAAAGTGCCCATTATAGTTGATGAAACCAAAAGTAAGTGTGTTTGTTGTTTTCATACACAGTTCCTGGCTCCTAACTCCCATAGCCCTAATTAGTTTCTTGTTATAATGCTGGGGCTCTTTAGGCCTCAAAAACAGGCCTCAGAAAACAGAATCTCTCTCTGACCTTCTCCTGCCCTCCTTCACCTGCTCCTTTTTCTTCTCAATGCAGTAATGTAATCCTCCCATGCCTTTCCATAAATAAATTCTCTGACCTACCTTATCTGATTCTGATTGGTAAGATCCCCATTTCAGAGGTCCTGCGCCATACCTTAAGGAAAGGAATGATGCACAGAGAGGCCAAGACTCTGAACAGACAGATCCTGCTGGGTTTCTATACTCAG